GTATGTTTTAAACGTGTTTAAGTCAATCGGCGATCGATAAAAGTGTCGAGTTTGTTAAAAAAAATAAAATAAAATAATTAATATATATAAAATCGAGGGTTTGCGAATCGAAAACAACCGCGAATCGATTCCCTTGGAAAATATCGCGAAAAAAAAAAAAAAAACGTTAAACATCTCGAGTGAAGCTTTCCGGAAAAAAAAAAAATCTATAATATTGTTTTGTCCTTGTTTTTGACCTCTTTCGTTTTATAAAAAAAAAATGGTTTTAATAATAATAATAATAAAGGAAAATTTATAATTAAATGAAAAAAAAAAAAACTCGCGTTTATTTAAAAATATGTGTTTGTTTTATTTATTTATTTATTTTTTTTAAACGTATACATAAATAAATAAAGTTATTGAAAATAAAAATAATATACGGGTAATAGTGAAAATTTTTTTAAAAAAAATATTGGATAACAATCAATTAGCCAAGCAGACGAAAGGAACGGAAAATTTCTTTCTGTTTTTTATAGTAATAATAATAATAAAATCCCCGTGAAAAATTGTGTGAGTACACCCATTTATCCATCCACCATTTTGAATTTTGTGTTTTTGAACGCTTTCTTACTCCTTTTTTTTTTTTTTATATTTTATTAAAAATTCGTAATTATTTCCGGTGGTATTTATTTATTTATTAAATTTACTTTATTATTATTATCAACGTTACATATTATTATTATTATGCAAAAATTTTAATAATTATTAAAACGAACTCGTATGTAAAATCAATTTGAAATTTAAACATTAAAAAAAAATTTTTTTTTAGTTTTTTTTTTTTTAAATTAAATTTAAATTTTAAATAAAAATTAAATAAAAAAAGGGGGGGAGGGGAAAAAAAAAGAAAACAGGTACGACCATTTTTATTTAATTTAAAATCTCGAGAGTGCACGCGTAAAAACATTGATCAATTTTTTTTTTTTTTTTCTGTTTTTCCATTTTTTTTTTTTTTTTTGCTACCACCTCGAACGTCGTGTATTTAAAAAACATGATGACGAATAAGAAAGAAAAAGTTTAATTAAAAATTTATTATTATTATTATTATTATTATTATTATTATTATTAACGCACGTTTATCGATTCGTGTCGCATCTTTACATTACATTTTTTTTTTTTTTGTTTCTTTTCATCTTTATTAATAATAATAATAATAAGGAGTATAACAAACGCACGCACTCACGCACAACCAAAAAAAGAAAACCCATATGTAAAAAAAAAAATATTTAAATATATTTATATATTATAAAAACAAAATGGTTGTCGTGTCGTAGGTAAATCTCAAACTACGATGATAATAATTATAATAATAATAATAATAATAATAATCAGAATAATAATGATATTTAAAAAGGAAAACGATTAATAAGTCTTAATAATATATTTTTAATTTTTTTTTTTGTTATTATTATTAATTGATTTAAATTAATATTATTATTATTATTACTATTATTACTATTATTATTATTATTATTATTATTATTATTATTATTATTATTATTATTATTATTATTATTATTATTTTGAAAAAATTAATTGTTAGCTTATGGATGTAAGAAATTTACACAATTTTTTTTTTTTTAAATTAATAAAAAATCAAATAATGATGATGATGATAATGATAAGTAAATTTACG